GCCCGCAAGCGCCTCAAGTTCCGCGCCGACGACGTCTGCTCGGAGCGCGGTGAGCGGCGCGGGGCGGAGCCGCGGCCTAGGCCCGGCAGCGGCGCCCAGGGCCCGGCCCGGGGGTCCGAGGCACCGGGGGAAGAAGGGGAGCGCCCGGGCCGCGCGGAGGCTGAAGCGGCCTCGCCTGGGGGGTTTGGGGCACCCGGGCCGGGCTGCGGGGGTGCGGGAGGCCTCGAGCTGGGCCTGGGGGCTGCAGGACCCTGCAGGAGCAGCCGGGCCTRGAGGGTGACGAGGGGTGTTGGCGGGGGGTTTGGCTTTGCCTCAGTGTGAGCTGGCCCCTTGTGGCGGGGGGACCCTGCTCCCGTAGCCCCATGGGCTGAAGCAGAGGGTGGCACCGGACCCGGGTGCTGCGCTGCGGTGGGCAGCTCCCGCCCGCGGCCCCTCGGCGGGTCCGGCCTCCCCCTGCGCCTCCTGACACCCCGGCTCTCYGCAGTGACCGTTGCAGATTACGCGAACTCCGACCCGGCCGTCGTGAAGTCGGGACGGGTGAAAAAGGCCGTGGCCAACGCGGTGCAGCAGGAGGGTGAGTGTGCGCCGGRAGCCGTCCTGGCCCCCGGGACGGGGCTGCCTTCCCCCTCCCTGCGCTCTGCGGGGCCTGGGAGACCTGGGGAACCTCCCCTCCTTCCCCCGTGCCCTGGGAAGATCTGGCTGCCTCMTTTGATGCCTGCAAATGCCCGTTCTTCTGCAAAATCAGGTGCTTAGGGTGTTAGAGAGGTGGTTTTGTAGAAAACCTCTTACAAATCCATCTGCCAGCTACTGAATCTTTGTTAGTGTCCTGAATGGAAGGATTTTTCTTTTTCCATTTAATATTGTAGATTATCTTCCACCTGATCCAAGAAATAACAAGATAGAAGTTTTTATTACTTTACTACCTCCTGGGAAACTGTAGATAGCTTTATTGACAGCTTTATTGCTGAAGAAACCATGTTTCCAGTGGGAACGTGGTTATGGTAGTTCTGCTGTGAGTTTTATTTCCTCCCCTGTGCTGCAAGCTGCTGTGAGGTCTTCTGAGGGTGTTGCTGGTGCTGTGCAAACTGAATGAACAAACAGCTTCCCGAAAGGTTGTTGCAGTGTTCTGTTATTTACTTCCTCCTTGGCTTTTAGCTGTTGAGGGTAATGGGAAATTTCTGGCTTCACACACCCTATTTGACTGAGAGCAGTTAATGTTTACAAGTTGCCTCCTAAGTGGTCACACAGGTAGAGTTGGGGTGGAGCTTAAATTTATAACACAAACTGTGCCTGCGGAACTTTTCAAACGAGAGAGGCCTCATTATCCTGCTGTAACCTCACACGTTCCAGCAAAAGGTGCTCTTTGTGCAGGTGCCTGTGTGTGGGAGCTGTACTGGGTAGTGATGCTGCTGAATGTTGTTTATTCAMCCACTATTTCTCATGTTTTCCCCATCAGGGCATCTCCCTCTCTCTCCCTATTCTGGAACAGCCTTCCCCCTTCCCAATCCTCCTCCTGTTTGCTGTTGGATAGTCTCGGTTTCGCCTCCATGTGCTGCACTTCAGCCAGGGAACAGACCCTGTTGTCTGTTCCCTCTGCAGCCCGTGTCACCGGGTGCAGCTGTGACTCAGGACGGCAGCAGGAGGAGGCCGCAGCCTCTGCCCAGGGCACCGCCTCGGAGAGCGGCAGCTTTTGGCCTCGCTCACCCGCTGTCCCSCTTTGTGCCAAGTGGACTTGGCTCTGGGGGTGGCTGCCGGGAAGCAGAGTCTCAYGGGCGAGCAGAGGCCGGATGGAATTTTCCTGGAATTTTCCCCGCCCCATCCTAACCCCCCAGCGAGGGAGTGACCGCTCTGAGATAAGGAGAGAGCGCCTGTTTGGCGAGATAGTAACGCAGAGCAAACTTGGGGTGTGGAGAGAGGTATCAGCTCTGATGTTAACGTGACAGGGTCTTTTTCCCGGCCCCTGTCACTCTCCAGCTGTTGCTTCCCCATGCAGAGTGTCACCATSTTGCTGTCCTAATGTGCTGTAATTTGCATTGCCATCTGCTTGTTTTGGGCTGTAGAAGGTCCCATGGAGAGGGCAGTAATTTTTGACAGCTTGAAGGGGAAACTGCTGCCCTGGCTGCGTGCGCTTTACAAAAACACTGTGCAAAAAAAGGAAGGATTGGTTCAGGAAAGGTTTGGCAGTGTGGCCTTGCAGCTGGGTCTGCCCTCCTGCTATGACAGGCTSTGCCAGTCCTTCTTCCTAAACTGGTCAAGCTCTGTCTTTAGACTCGCTTCTCCTGCCCTTTTATTGTTTTGGAACCTCATTTTTCTGTAATCACAAGTAAGAACATATCTAGACTAAGCTTATTAACAGTCAGTTCATATTTTTCTTCCTGTTATTCCCATCACTTTAAGTCTAATAGCTCTTCTGCCTCCTCATGGGTCTTATGATGGTAACTGCCCTGTATAAAAGTTTCTGCAACCTTAAGTTTGCTGGGTTAGAAAAACTCAGGCAGTGCCAAGTCTGCTGTGGCAGCGTCAGCTGCCTCTGGATAGTAGGTCTTTTTTCCATGCAAGCACTTGGGGTTGAAATCCAACTTTTTCAAATTTGTGGAACTGAGTTGTGCAGAGAAATGACTGTTTTTGCCAAGATTTGTGTGGCCAAGATTTGTGTGATGCTGCTGTGTTTAGGGCTGCACTTTTTTTTTTTTCCCCCTTTTTGGGACTGATTAACCRATTACGGGCTTGTACTTGAATTCTTCTGCCTAATAAGCCCTCAGTTAATAGACTAAATTTCAAAACTGAAGTTTCCTAATGGTATTGTCTTAAACATCTCCCCAGGCACAGCAAAGAGAAAGACTGAATTCACTTGCTGTTTTCCTCCTTAGCCGAGAGCTCTTTTCCTTCACTAAATTCTAGGATAAATTGGGCTGCTTGGCACTGGGTTTCATTGCTGGCTCTTTGTCTCCCTTCAACCCCACGGTCTCTTTATTGCCTGTATCAAAGGGCTACCTTTGCTGTGTGCCTCGGACGGTTATGAGCTGGTTATGAGCAGCCTTCTCACAGAAAGAGGGGCTGTGGTTGTGCCAGGAAGCTCTGATGCCGGGGAACCAGTTAGCACCATGGAAAGGGCTGTTTCATTCAGAATTGCAGCTGGCTTCAGCTACAGTGACAGGATCATCTGCTTAATGCTCTGGAAATCAACCTCGTTGCTAATTATTTAAGGCGAGACAGAATAATTATGTTTTCAATTCACTCGCCCATGCTAATCTTGCTCTGGCACAGTAATCCTCAGGCCCAGGCTTCCCTTGCCTGTGTCATTACAGAGCTTTAACGTGGCTAGAGTGCCATTTCTTAGCATGGCCCTGGCAGAGATCTGGCCTGAAAGATCTCCCGRACTTGGATTGCCTCCTTCTCTCCTCCAGTGTATTCAGAGTGTGTCAATTCTTCTTCTTCTAGTAAAATCCCTCTGCGGTTTGGAAGCTTCTTGTGTTCCTGCTGAGGAAGTTCTCTCTGTATCTGGAGACTCTTGTGACAGCAGCGATGAAACGGACACAAAGGAAAGTGTCAACGGGCGACCTGCGTCTCGAAAGAAGAAGAGCAAAAGGCACAAAGGTACCGGCGCGGTCCTCTCCTGGGACAGTTTTCCTTGTCTTTTCCAGGATGTTTTTCTGTTGGTGGTGTTAGGGGTTGCTATTTACAGACTAGTCTTGTGGCTTTTCCTGGGGCTGTGAAACTCATGTATGCACAAGTTAACGGGGTTAAACGACCATTGCTCTCCTGAGAACCTGCTGTGACTTGGACAAAGATGTTGACTTTTCACCAAGACAAAGGTTTGGGCACACAATCAAAGCTGACGATCTTGTTCCTTTCACTGATTTCCTGTCAGCCTTGGAATACTAATGTTGCACTACTGGAAGAGTTAGGAAACTTTGCCACATGTGATACTCTGTTCTTCACCAAAAGCATTGGTGAAAGCAGCATTTACTTTGAACAACAAACCTTTCTGTCCACCACGTGTCTGTGGGCAGATTCCAGGCTCTGTTTTTAGGATATTTCTAAACTTGTTATTTACTACAAATGGATTTAGAGAACACCTGAGTGAATTTAGCCCTAGTGTTATCATGGAAAGYTAATTCTGGGGAGCTGTATCCTTCAGTGCTTATACTTTGTGCAGCTCTATAGTGTGTAAAGTTATTATGTAAAGATACTGATTTGTGTAACAAATCATCCCCTACAGGTTGTAAATACACAGCAGTCCTTTGGGATGGGATTTCCATCTCTATTTATTAAATTTTCTTTGGGAATCCTGGATGGGTAGGAACATCCCAGTAGCTGTTTTGAGTGTGGAAAGACAGTTTCTGTTCTACCACGTTGTTATACTTCCAACAAATTGTTCAATTTCTCTGTCATCGTTATGTTAACACCCAGCTGTTGTAAAACATATTGCCCAAAGGGTTCAGCTGGTTGCTTAGATTAGTCRTGCAGTAGCAGAGAGTTGAGGAGTGCTTTAATATAAATAAAATTCATGCTTCTTTAATCTCTGCTGCTGAATATGAAGAAACAAACATTTGAAAGGCTGTCACCTCTTTTAATTATTTTTAAGCACACAGATCTACAGATCATTTTCTACAATCTCATTTTAAATTTGATCTGTCTRTTCTTCAGAGCTAGGTACAGACAAAACTTGCAGTCTTGAGCTGTTCTGTCTTGTGCAAAAGAATGTCCATTTTACATCTGAATCACTGGTCTCYTTTCCATATACCAGCCTTGAATGAGGTCCTTTAGTCTCTTTACTYAAGATTCCAACACAGCAACTAATACTCAGTTGAGTGACTTAATTGTTCCATTAAAATCTTATCCCTTACAATATTTTTTTGAGAATTGTCTGTGGAAAAACATGGTTTTGTTAACTTAAAGGCTCTGATAAAATGAAATGGATCTGTGAAGCTTCTCTTCTGTCCACAGAGCTTTTAATGCTGCAGAGAGGGAGAATGAGCCATTCGGTTGGGTTATGAATTTCTTTAGAGTTTGCCGTCTTGATTAAAATGCAGAGTTAAGAAAGCAGCTAATTAGTGAGAAGCTGCAGTAACTGGCAGGGCATCTGCAAGAATCTTATGAGCATTCAACCTGTGTTCAACCCGCACACACAAACTCAAGTTACCCATATGAGCAGTTGAAAGCCTAGGGCTTCACTCTAGCTGTGTTTGGAAAAGAGGTTTTTATTGCGGTAACACATGTTCACTGCATTTAGAAAATCCTGATGGTGACGGCGGAGAGGAATATCCCATAGATATCTGGCTGCTGCTGGCATCCTACATTCGCCCTGAAGACATCGTTCGGTTTTCTCTGATCTGCAAGAAAGCCTGGACTGTTACTTGCACTGCTGCCTTTTGGACCAGGCTCTACAGAAGGTGAGGCTCTAAAGACCGTTTTATCTGTTGGTAGGAGGCTTCAGTGTTGACCACTTAGCTGCAAATAAGGGAATATTACAGGTTGATATGATCTGTGCCTTTGCAACATGTAAAGGGTGGTTTGTGCCTTGTTTGGCAGGGGGTTGCAAAACACTGCGTCTGCTTTGGGATCTAGAAAGGGATCTTTGCAAGGCAGCATATTCCCATATGCTCCACATAGGATATCAGTGCCTGTTCTGGTTTTCTGCTTGACAGAGCTTACACACTTCTGTTGTTAACACAGAGAGCACGGGGTTATGAATGCAAAAGGTGAAGTCAGGCCATTGCCTGCCTTCCAAAAAGCAAGTATCATTGATAGAAAATTTGCCCTGTCTGAAGCTACCTTTRATTGTGGTCACCTTCCTGTAAGTTCATCTCCCAAGCATTTAGGAGGAGTCTGCCTGTTGGTAATGGGCTATAATAAAATAAGGAAGGGAAGAAAAGCGAAGAAGTGGTCAGAATATGAAACAAATCCTCTTTCCTTATGCATGCCACTCACACTTGCCTTCAGGAGGGAAGATTTGATTTCTCTTTTTATGGACCTGTTGCTCAGGAGGGGCAACCAACAAGAGTACAAAGCAGTCTGTGGCTTTGTGGGCTGCCACGTGGTTTCCTGTAGAGACTAGAAAGCTCTTGCAACATTCAGAGTTCATCACTGGTCACCTCTGTGTTCATTCAGATGTTCAAGTGTTGCTCAACGTTGATTTTTGTAGCTCTTTTCTACTCATCTCTGTGGCTTTCTTCAAAGCATATTGGCCTTGTCCTTTGCTTTCCAGGCACTACAGCCTGGATGCCTACCTGCCTCTCCGCTTGCGACCAGAATCCATGGAAAAGCTGCACTGCCTCCGTGCGTGTGTCATCCGGTCGCTGTACCACATGTATGAACCTTTTGCATCGCGAGTCTCCAGGAATCCGGCTATTCCAGACAGTACTCCTAGCACTTTAAAAAATTCCAGAGTAAGTGCTAGTGCTCAGGAAGGGGGATGTGTCTGAGATGTTGCTTTTTCTGTATTTTTATTCTCTTTCTAGGAGAAAAAAAATGTTGTTTAGATGATCCCCAGTCATCTGGGGGACTAGTTCTGGAGTCAGGACCAGTTAGAGCTGGTCCTCTAAAGACCAGCTTGGTCTTTAGAGGCTTCTCAGCTCTTTAAAAGGTTTCTGGTTATAGTGTCTATACGGTTGCTACTATAAGGGATCTTACTTTTCTGGCTGCCTAAGTCCTACCACAGTAACTTTGTAATCAGCAAAAACACTTGCTTCATTGAAAATCAGAAGTGCTGGTGATAGAATTTGTAGCTTTGCCATYCTCTGTTGCAAATTTGTTGTTGAAAGGAGGTTGAGGTAGGATCAGCATTCGTATTTTCTGCCTTATTCTGACACTGTCTGCCAGAATATGTCTTCATAGCAGGTGTCTGGAGAGCATCAGAAGCGATGCTGATAGCCTCAGAAAGGGACTCATTTCATACTCCATCTCCTCTAGGCCTCTAGTTTATGTGAGAGGGAGAATGAGGAGGTTGTGAGCATGGCAAACGTGCAGAGCAAATATCTGCCTTGGGTTTGGGGCTGTGGTTGTGTTGGCCTGTGAAGGATTTGTCTCGTGTGAGCAGGTGATTCCCTTTGCTATTCCAAGCTTGGAGCGCTTGCATATCCATTCCTCTTTAATTGCTGTTATCATTAACTCTGAATTGCCTTTGTGTTTCTTGTCTGATTTTAACTCATAACTGGCTGATATTGAGGGAACGGCTTAAGCAACAGTGTGAACTCCCCGTGTTCCAAATTCAAAAACTTGTTGAATGAGGCTTTTGGAATCAAACCAAAGGGGTTTTGGTTCAACAGTTCTTTCCATGCGAAAGACAGCAACTCCATCTGCCTGGGTAACATCTTTCCTTCCCTACCTTCTTCCTTCCTCTCTCTGTGAGGATACTGGGAAGAGTGTTGCCTGCTTAGGGAGCAGAGTTACCAGCGGTAGCACAGGCAGGTGGTGCTGCAGAGCAGGAGCAAAGCAGCGTTTCTGCGTGTGGGTCTTTCTGCTGCATCCAGAGCTTTCCATTCTCTCCCCAAATCCCCAGTTTGGATSTTGTCTGTCTTAATTAAAGACCAAAACACTTCTAGGAAATTCCAACTTAACYTTAGTCCTTCTGAGTCTGACCTGCCCCTAGGGCAGGCCCTCTGCTCGGATATACGAGCTGGAACCCCGTGAGATGACACCGCCAGGGCTGGCAGCTTAGGAGCATTCACGTTGACATCATAACGGCTTTGGTGCCCACTGCTAGCGCTTCTGGTGTACTAACAGCTCTAGAAAGATTCTGGAAGTGCAATCTTTTAGTTTCCAGCTTTAAAAGGGGGGAAAAAAAAAGAAAAAAGAGGAAATTAAATGATGATGAGGCTTTGTTAGAACAGTAGAGGTCTGACCCAACCCTTTGGAGCAGAGAAGAGCTATCAGGAGTGTGGTCTTGCTCTACTACTGTGTTGCAAGACTCCAAGCTCCAGCTGCGTTACTGTGCGTTGCAATGTCCAGGCACAGTGGGTAGGGAGGAGGTTCTGTCGTTGCCTCCCCTCGTCCTCGCTTTCATGGGTTTTGGTTACACCTTTACGGGTCACTGAAAGTAATGGCAGATGCCTCCATAAACTGCATGTGGCAAGAAGAGCCCCCCAGTCCACAATGTTACTGGATCCAGCTTTTCCTCTTTAATTTCCTTTTTTCTTTCCCTAGCCTAGCTTGTGTGGGACACTGGAGCCGTTATGGTGTCAGCAGAAGTGTTTGCCCTTTAAAGACACCCCCATTATTTTTGGTGGAGCAGCAGGGCCTACGGCGCGGCTGAAGGGCAGGACGGCTGACCCGTGGATGACATCCTCTGCCCCTTAGGAGGTACTGACCATTTTGTGCTTCACTACTTGCCATGACCAAACGAGCTGGTAGACCAGGTTGTCTCTGCGGGTGAACTGCAAATGCCACTAACAGTGGAGTTAAACTTTGCTGCACACCCAAGTTAATGAAGATCTGGAGAATTTTGTTATAGGTGAAACCCAGGGCCACCTCCTCCCAGGTGGAGGCTGCTTGACACGTGCTCCTGAGCTTGACTCCACGTACCTTTGTCGTTCACCTCGTCAAGATTTGTCATTCTAGAGATCCTTCAAGGACTCTTAATTATGGACATAACTCGGGCTTTGAGTAAAGGGTCTTGTATCTCATGTAGCTGCTATATATGAAGCCCCCATGGCAGAGGCTGGTCAAGATTGCTTTTATTTGGTGTCAGTCCAGCTGGAATTAAATTATATGTGTACTTACTTCCCCCAGTGGCCCAGCCAGGCCATCKTTTGAAGCAGGAGAGACTGTGTCTGGGTGATGGGGAGCTATCTTCTCTACTCATGTTATTCTTCCTCCTTCTGCTGACACTGTTAATAGGAGCAGATAAGACCAGCTATGGTGGGCTGGCATCTGTGGGGTGGAATCGCACTCAGTGATGGTCGATCTGACTCATCAGATACTCTTCTTGGCTGTTGAAGGATAGTAGCTTCCACTCACTTGGGTCAGTCAAGCTAGCTAGCCTGGCACTGGTTTTGTGCTCCAAAATGTGACACGTTGGGACGCAGTTGTGTCAGGACCATCTTTTGTCTCTGAAGTGGCTCAGGAAACTCTGTCACGTCCAAGGTCATGCCTCAGCCTTTGCATTTCTCTCTGGATTCCTTCCTCCTTGACCCTTTTTATGTTTTCAGGTGTTCCTTACTTTAGTCTTTTGTTTTGGAGTCCAGCTTAATGGGACTTCTTGGTATGGGGCATGGAGGACCGGTTGGATCTGTTCTACTCGGGAAGGGACAAGTGGTGCAAAGGGGTTTTTGGTTTGCGGGCAAGTGACTACATGCTGTGCCATTCTGTTGCATGATGAATTGACCAGCTTCAGTCTGGGAGATGGAAAATTTGGGGTGTGTGCTCTCAACATGATTAATTTGAATAGATGGTTTCTAACTACTCTTCTGTAATTGTGTTTCTAATTGGAAGTCTTTATGCCCTGCAAAAATATATTTAAAGTGTTGTCTCTAAGGATTTCGTAACTTTTTGTTTCTTTTTTCCACTGCAGTGTCTGCTTTTCTGGTGCAAAAAGATTGAAGGGAACAGACAAGAATCAATGTGGGAATTCAACTTCAAGTTCAAAAAGCAGGTATGAAAGCTGAGCTCTGACTGAAGAGCCAGAACAACTATAACTTTTTTTTTTTAAGGCAGTAATAATTTTTTTTGAGTGGTAGAAAGGACAACTCTGAATTCCATCAATAAGGAGAAACTGTGAATCCCATGACAGAGCACGTTGTGAAACTGCACTTAATATTCACTCTATGCTACCAACCTCTTCAGATTCCTACGTTTTTATTTCCTCATTTGTTACCCTTTCACCACTTGAAGACATGGTTCATTTGTCACCCCAAATAACCTAATCCTTAGATTATTGTACCTAATCCTTAGATTATTGTTACTTATTACAAACAAAAAGAACAGATTTATGAGTTTCATGGTCAAAACTGAGCCTGAATCTCAAACTTCTTGCCTTAACTTGAGAAGGGTTCCCCTTAGAAGCCAACACATGCTAATGAAAAAGTGCAAGTTATGGCTCTTATAAGCGTGCTGTATAAAACAACCTTGAGGGTAGCTAAGTAAATGTTTATGTTTCTTTCAAGTCGCCCAGGCTAAAGAGCAACTGCTGCAAAGGTCTCCAGCCACCCATTCAGTACGAGGAAGTCCACACAAACCCTGACCAGGACTGCTGTCTACTGCAGATCACCACCTTTAACTTCATATTTGTGCCAATAGTCATGGGCATGACGTTTACCTTGGTAAGTGTTTGCCCACGTTGGCAAAATGGGCCAATTTTGCASTTAGAGTTTCTAATAGGAGGTGAAAAAGAGACTTCTGGTCCCTGTAGTTTGATGTAAATCACGTTGTTGCATCAAATATCTAGTTGTGGGCATCTCCGCGTGAATCTTAGAGGCGTTGCTGAGGATTTCCTCAGTGGAATTCTGCAGACCCATCAGTTCCTGCCTGTTTGATGTAAGCAATATCAGTGATGTAGAGAATTTGCAAGAAGCTGAGGGTTTGCTCTGGCTGGCAGTGGTTAGTTATCGATGCTGCAGCAGCGAACAGTGTTTTTGTGGTCCCAGGTTGATGATGTTGGTACCTCACTGCTGGGGGAAACAGCAGCTTTTGAACCCACTTTGACAAACTCGGTCTTCTCCAAAGTTGTTCCAAAAAGAAGTATTATTTCAGAAAGTAGCAGACCACGTGTGCTCGCCATAAGACAAGCAGTAGGGCCTGGGGCAGCTTGTGTGGCTGTAAGTCAGGGTTTAAAATGCCCTGTGCCCAAGAAGAGTTTTGTCTTAGTGTGAACAATAAGATGAAGCAATCTCTGCCAGCACCTGAAATACTCTAYGTGGATATAGTTTTGAGTTCCTAACAGTGCACTTTTAGATTAATTGAAATTCTTCCATWCATTTGCTGTTTTGATTTTTCTGAAATTCTCTTTTTTTGTGTGTGTGTCGGRGTGTGTGTGCAAACCTTACCTGCACGAAGTTATCAATTCTGTATTTTAGATGTTGACTTAATCAAGAAGAAGTCATTTTGATACCCAGGGTCAATGATTCTAGATGAYTGTCCAATCACGTCTAGAAATGTCCAATGATTCTGGACGTTTCTAGAACAGCAGCTACATCTCCTTGAGCTCCTCCTTGTCTTTCTTCTTCCCCTTGCAGTTCACCATCAACGTGAGTACAGACATGAGGCACCATCGGGTGCGCCTGGTGTTCCAGGACGCCCCCGTTCGCAACGGCAAGAAAGCCCGGCTGGACCAAGGCGTGCAGGTTGTGCTGGACCCTGTGCACAGCGTGCGCCTCCTGGATTGGTGGCACCCGCAGTACCCCTTCTCTCCCAAAGCTTAGTGYCCTCCGGAGCCTGCAGCAGCCGGCAGCTGACTGAATCTGGCAGGCTGAAGAGAATTCCTAGGAACCAGGAAATCCTCTTTTTATTTCTAAAATAAATTCTGCAGTCTCCTTGCAAGTGGTTGAAGCTACTGAGCTAGTCTCTATGTATATAACTTCCGGTCAGTGACGGGCAGAGCTGAGTGTAAAGTGGAAAAAAAAATTTGTAAACACACTTTTATGTAAAAATTCACGTTTTATGATTTGAAAGGAGCTCCCTGGAACTGTTCATTTAAAATCCTTTTGGTGCTAATGAAAGTGGTCCTGTTTTTTGTTGTTTGGGAAGAAGCAGGAAGCTTTAATATGGCCAGAAGCAGTTTCACAACCGGAGTTCATGTTTGTTTTGCTGCAGCCTGCTTGCGTTCAAATACAGTGTGATGTTTCGGGGTTTGAGGAGCAGTAATCAAAGCAGCAGCCATCAACAGTAATGCCAGTTGTCAGATGTGAGTTAAAAAAAAAAGTATAAATGATCAAAGTAATTATTTCAAAGAAGATTTGTAAGGGAAAAGGCTGTAAAGATACTCCACGTTTTCACACTGATGTTTCCCCTTGAGAAGATCTAAACTTTTAAAGCCCAAACATGCTTTTCAGAGAAGATGAACAGAGTGGGGGGGAGATGCAGATAAACTAAAATTGAAGCAATTGTGAACGACTTGAATTTTTGTACAAGCAGCGGAGAAGCGTTGACCTGTTGATGCTGGATAGCCCAGGAGCACCAAGTCCTCAGCTGAACAAACTTAAGAAGACCCCCCAAGCTTTCTGACACTACTGTGGCAAGGGGTTGTTGGAGAAGGGAGCGGGTGCTGAGCCCGGGCCTGCCAGACTCGTGAGTGCTCTTGGGCAGGTGAGTAACGGTGAGGGCAGTAACCAGATCCCGAGCTCCGCAGCTCATGGATATAAAGGATGAGGTTATCAGTCCCCTTTCATACCAGAGCTTATCTCGGGCCGGAAGAGCTGAGCACTCGTGTGTGGGCTGTGTACAGCGGTTACTGCAACTCCTGCAAGAGGGCGGCTGGAGAGAGGGATTTTATCTCCTCGGTTTGACTCAGCTGTGCAAACACTCCGTCATCTCTGTGTCCCCTGTGGCTGCCGCCAGGAGTTTCTTGTGTGTCCCTTGGCCATTGTGTAAATTATCATCAAGGACACCAGTCCCAGGTTTGCATTTACATTAGATACCTGCTCCTTGATAAGAATTTTGAACAAACATWTGGGAAAACTGCTGTGTTCCCTTTTCATCGCTGCTGAGCGTGCACCTTGAAGCTGACAGGTAAGTTATTTTGAAGCCAGGTAGTAAAAGGTAAAGGAGGATATATCCTAACTGTGGGAACACAGGTTGTTCCTGCTGGAGCTCTGTCTCGGCTGCCCTTGCAAGGATGCTTTCTGCCCCAGGGCCGGGCGCTAGAAACCCCCTGCAGAAAAGGGAAGCGGCTCTAGGGCAAAACATCTTAAACTTTTCCTTRCGATGTCATTAGCTATCTCTGAACTCGCAGCGACAAGTCCTCAGTGCTTATGTAGTCCTTATCTAGTCCTTATGTAGTAGCGTCTTTTCAATAAGTTTTTAAAAAGTCAATTTGCAAAAGTTTGCTGTCTTAGGTAAGAAGCCTTTCTTAGTTGGTAGTGTAGGCTGCCCCAGGGAGGATGTCTTCTCCAGCAAAACCAAATTTGGAGAAAATCGGGTGCTTTGAAGCAGGTGCTTCAGTGTGGGCTTTGCTGTGTGCCCTTGTGTGCCCTTGTGTGCGGAGCACTGCTGCRAACGGGTTTGGAGACAGGTCTCCCYAGTTTGCACTTTGTGTGTCCCTGACGTGAGTCATTTTCTTGAGATTTTGGAGGAGCCAGATGTGACAGTCCGGAAGAGGGAAGGAGGAGGACGACGGAGCAGACCGGGGTTCATCTAAAGCTCTCCTGGTGCTGGAGCTGCGCTTGCCTCCAGAGCAGTGCCCGGGGTGAGTGGGGATGTGTGACCGCTGTGCCTGCTGCCCTGGCCCCGGGGCAGGACCCAGCACATCTCGGGGCTCTGCGTTTCCACATCTCTTCAATGAAGGTTTTAAGCAAATTATGAGGGGCCCCGAACTCATGTTTCCCCCAGTTTTGCTTATCCCTGAACTGGCAGCTCCCGGTGCCAGGTCCGTGCTGGGCACAGGTCCGTGCTGGGCACGCGACCCTGGTGCCTGCCTGTAAGGAGGGGACGTTGAACCSTCGGCAGCCGGGGAGCTGCTTTTATTTGTTCAGGCGTCCTTGAAGGTTCCGTGGTGAGTGCCAGGCTTCCTGGCCGCGTCCTCCCAGCCCCGGGGCTGCGGGAGGACTCCAGCCGCGCTGAGCCCCCCTTGCAGCCCCCCGGCACGTGCAGCTGTGGGGTTCCAGCGCGTGGGGCCCGTGTCCCTCGTGGCGGCCAAAAGGAGACAGGGAGCCGTGACGCTCCTGTTGTTCTCGCTGGCCCTTGCGGCCCTGCTTTATCTGTGGTTTGTCCGTCTCCGGCTCGTGAATAATGCAGAGATGGGGCCTGCGGTAACTTAATCCAGCTCTGCTCTCCGGTGTCCCCCATTGTGTGGGGCTTGGCCGCCATCCCGTCCCCAYGCAGCCGGGCTCGGGTGTCGGAGGGAGCTGTCGGGCAGGGTGAGAGCGGCCCTGCCCGCTGCCCCGAGCAGGGCTGCTCCTGCCCGGCCCCAGGGCCTTGTCCGTGCTCCCGCCGCGCTCACTGCTGCTCCTCGGAGCCCTGTACCAGGTGCGTGTCTGGAGAGACGCGTGCACCYCTGCACGCACATCTGTGCACCCCTGCACGCACATCTGTGCACACCTCTCCCCGCTCCTGTTCATCCCCTCCTCAGAACAGCCCTTGCACCTGGGGAAAATGGGAACCACTTTTGGCTTCCAATTTCTCCAAGGAAAAGGACATCTTGGCCCCCTTTAGCCCTCTCCACTCTAGTACCAGATTCCTCTTTCTTCCCCAGGCAGAAAAATTAAGTTGGTGACTCAAAAAGCAAGAGAGAGGCCTTGGGTCAGAGAGAGGTGACTCCTGCTCAGGGGGGCCCTGGCTGGGAACCTTCCCCATCTCCATCAGGGATCTTGTCGTGGCAGCCAGGGTGGCACGAGGGTTTCCCTGCCTGGTTTGCTCTGTGGGATGTGCAGGAGAGGGCAAARAAGACCCAGCATTTCTGCAGGTGGATGGAGAAGAGCCTGGCCCCCAAGGTGAGGGACACTGAGGGCTCCATCCCGGCCGTGACGTCCTCCCGTTAGCTCAGGGCTCCCCAACTTGCCCAGACCCAGGAGATGCATCCTCACGTCATGGCCCCTTGCAGTCTTCCAAAGGGATCTTTTGGAGCCAAGGATTTCCTGGCAGCACCTCGGCRCTATCCCCTCTCTTCTCCAACCCCAGAGCCAGGAGCCCCGGAGCGAGGCCTGCCCTGGACTCGGGCTCGGCCGCCGCTGCCCCGTGCGCCGCGGCCCGGCCGGCTCCCCTCCCTTTCCTTCCTGCATGGGCAGGAAGGAGCAGCCGCCGGGCCCGGCGCTGCTTCCTCGCCGTGTGCGAGCGAGCCCCGATCCTCAGCGCGTCCCCGATCCTCAGCGCGTCCCCGATCCTCAGCGCGTCCCCGATCCTTGGCGTGTCCCCGATCCTTGGCGCATCCCCTCGGCGCCCTCCTCCCGGCCCGACGGCCGCTCACAGCTGGTGGGTGCTCTTGGCCCCGGATCCCGCACTGCCTCCGGCCCTACCTCATCTCCCCACACCTCCGTTAGCCTCCCGACGGCATCCGGGCTCCGCGGCTCCACCTGACCCAGCGCCTGCTCTGCTCCAAGGGAGACCTCACAGCTGATTTTTACACAAAAGAGCCTGAAAAAAGAGGAAATTGGGTCCAGTCGAAGGTAGGATGGGTCTGTGCCAGCTGAAAGAGGAGGAAGGTCGGGTTGGATTTCCATGTGGATAAGCAGGCAGGAGCAGGCCTGGTGTGGGATGCCAGGAAGGGTTTGTCCCTCTCCTTGGGTGCTGCACATGGAACTCTGGCAGGGAGGAGCTGGCTCACTGGGAGACGTGAGCTGTTGCTTATYGCTGATACGCGGGGGCTTCTCCACCTGCTTGTTCGGAGGTAAATACTGGGCTTGGGGCTGCGGGGGCCGCAACAGCGGCGTGTGTCCTGGGGAGCGCGCGGCGGGGAGCCGCTCTGCGAGGCCGGCCGAGGAGCTGGCGGTGGAGCCGTGCGCGTCGGCTCCCGCCGGCGGGACAGGAGCTGCCCTGGGTGCCCGAAGCAGGAGCAGATGGTGGATCCCGGGCTGGGAGCTGCCCTGGGTGTGGGGACGGATGGTGGATCCTGGGGTTGTGTCCGGGGAGGGGGCTCGGAGGGGCCGCCCTGCCCTCCATGGGGCCTGGCCGTCCCAAGGCCCCTCCTCTGCAGGTGAGGGCCGGGGTGGGGCTTGCGGAGCCAGAAACGGAGCCGCTCGGTGCTCAGGGCGCCGCAGCACCCGGTGACGCCCGGCCAGGCTCCCCGGCCACCCGCGTCCCCGGCCGCCACGCGCCACCTAAGTCTCCGTGGGCAGGAGCCGCGGCGCTGGGTGCTCCGGGGAGGCGTCTGGCTGCGCGCGGGGCAGCTCAGGGGGCTGGGGGGCTGCCCGAAAGGGGCGTCCCCAGGCCGGCAGCCGCAGGGACCCCACTCGGCTCCCCTTCGYCTGGGAGTCCATCGAGGCCCCTCTGCGTGGTGAGTGGCTCTGTTGACCGCAAAGCCCTGTCCTCCTGCTGCCCAGCCTTGGACAATTGCGGCTCTTTCCTTCCTTCCTAACCCTGGGATGAGCCTTGAAACAGGGAAACACTKGGGAGCGGGGCAGGAGGCTGGGCCGGCTCAGAGGGAACTCCATACCAGGACTGGGCTCTGTACTGGGATCCAGGACCGCTCCCTCCRGATCCCACTGGCTCTGGGAGCCTGACAGGAGGGCGGATTTGTGGTGGGGGCACTGGCAGCGCTGGGCACGGYGCGGGCTGCCCAGACGGGCCGCCCCGGAGGCCGCGGCGAGCTGAGCCCCTGGGGRTTGCACTGCTACGTCCACGGGCTCTGTCCCTGCAGGACGGCCCCTTATCCAAGGAATCCTTTCTGCTGGCAAYGGAGGGCTCCTGCCAGCCCTCCAGGGTTTGGGAATACTCTGGATGCTTTTATTTAGCAACATGAAATTCTATTTAGCAACACGAGATCAGAGCTTCAGCCCAGCCCATTGCAAGGGTTGGGTCTGTTTGCAGTGCAGGGGTGTTTGCAAACGGGTCGGGCTGGAGCCTGTGATGGGCACTGAAGGCCAGGCCACGGATTTCCCTGTTCTCCTTCCCCTCCGTTGCGGGACCAAGTCACCACTGCCGCTGTGGCCAGGCCTGTTTGGGAGTCTCCTGGTGAAGCGGAGGAGCTCGACTCGCTCTGCGCAAGCTGGAGCTCCCCCTGCTCCGGCCACGCGCTCCGCGTCCTGGCGCAGCTCCGCGGGCAGCCACAGGGAAGGCTGCACGAGCCAAGGGCGTCGGGCAAGAAACGGGGCTGGGGACGCCCTGCAGAGGAGCCCTGAGCACRGCCGGGCGCAAGGCCAGGGCTGCTGGACTCTGCGTTCTCCCATGGAGACAGAATTGCTCGAGGTGAAGGGTGCCTTGTTGCACAACAGCCTGATTAGAGGCTTGCAATTACCAGCAGTGTCTGTTACCTATTGTTCTCCATTGAAGCTGCAAAGCAGGGAAATGTGGGAGCGAGGAGGAGCTGCGGGAGCAGCGGGGATCGAGGTGGGAGCGGGGCCCGTTTCCCGCAGGCTCCCCTCCGCCCCAGCGCTCCTGCAGCGCTGACACAGCCGAGCTCGCGACGGCCGGGGGCTGCTGTGCAGCACTGTGGTTTCTATCCAGCTTGACCTCCTCTGCTCAGCCAGGAAAACCCTTGGCCACACAGAGGATAAATCCACAAAACCCAGTATGTGGCGAGGGGCCRGGCCTCGCTGTTCCCGGCTGGCTCCGTGGCCTCAGCGCCGAGCCAGGGATGTGCTCGAGGCTGCTCTTGAACAACCCACTTGAACACAGAGCTCTGGAGGTCCTGGGCTTGGTTTTGAGCAGCTCTGRGAGCTCTTTCCTAGCTGAAGGGTTCAGTTTGGTCCCAGCTGCTGTGCCAGCGCGGTGGTATGGGTGGTGCCCACGTGCCGTCCCTGGTATGTCCTGGGTTCAARCTCCTGGGAATCAGGTCTCACTTGAGACAGGTCCTGCAAGCTCCACGGCTTGGCCAAGCCCTGGCAGAAGCCGAATCGGGTGAGGAAACGAGCTCAGACTTTTTAGCCTGGTCTCTGGGGGCAGCGAGGCCCAGGTGGCCACAGTGGGGCCTATGTCCTTGGGCTCTGCCCCTGGGCGATGGCTCGTTATCCAAGAAATCCCTTACGGGAGGCTCCTGTCAGCAGTCACCTGTCTCCTGCCAGCGAGGCCCAGGTGGCCACGGTGGGGCCTCGCTCCCCCAGGGACCTGAACCTCGGCTGCCCTCAGCTGAGTCCAAGAGCAGGAGAGCYGGAGAGGGGCACAGGGCCCTGCTTGGGCATGGGCTGCCGCGGGAGCACTTGGATAGTGCTCCTGAAAGCGCAGGAAGGGGCGAGGGGACCGACCGATCCTGTGCCAGGATATTAGCGACCCCTCTTGGGAGTCTCTGACTAACGTGTTTTAAGAATCCGCAGGTGAAGCCTGGCCTCAGTTTGGGGCGCTGGTACAGTGGGTTGGGGGATATCCAAGCCCCCAGCCTCTGCTTTCCCTGCTTGGCTGGGAATAATGGGCAGGCTCCGAAACGAGCCTGGAAGCGCCCTCGGCGTTGTGTTCAGCAGCTCGTGGCAGCTCTTCCTTCGCATATTTGCATTTGTGGGCGCTTGGACCCGACCAAGCCAAAGTGCTGCAAGGGACTGAGATCCCCGTGCGCCCTGCGGGGCCGGGGACCTGCCCGCTTCCACTTACCTGCTCTTCCGCGGCACTCGGCCGCGCTTGTAATGGAAAAACCCCGGGTGAAGCCAGGAGCCTTGTAGCCTCCAGCCACACCTCTGCTACAGGAAAGTGTCTCAAGGGCAATGCACATTCCTTGGAGGTGACGYCCCTGCCTGTGAAGGACTTTCTTGTCCTACAAAGCAAGGGACGTAGAGCGGGGCCTCGGGGCCGCTGTGGCCATGGGGGCCGGTGGGGTTGATGTTGAGCTTGGCACTGATTTGGGGCTCCCAGGACAGGGGGATCTTACCTGTCCCGGGMGGATGGTTTCCAGGTGCCTCCCGATCCCCACGGATGGGCACCCGGGTGCTGGGGGAGCAGCCCTGAGGGTGCCCCCAGGTGCCCATCTGGTTTTCTGCTCCGTCCTCACGTGCCGCTTCCTCCCGCAGACCGGCGCGCTGGCCCGCTGCTATGCGATGCTCCCCGAGGCGCGTCCTCACTGCTGCCCTTGCAGCCTCCTTCCTCCTCCTCCTCCTCCTCCTCCTCCTGGGCAGCCGCTGGGAGCAGAGCCTGGAGGATCCCCTAGAGGTGAGTCCCTGCCCCAGTGCTGTCCTGCTGCGGGGTGTCCGTGTCCCCAGCCCCACGCAGAGCCAGCCCCAGCGCCGCAGCCTCCCCTGTCCCCCATCGTCCCCAAACCCCAGCTCAGCCCTGGGGGTGCCTGTCCCCATCTTGCAGCCCGGAGGGCAGGACGGGGCTTCCCCTGCGTCTCCTGGTCCCTCCTTGCGCCACACGGATGGCACTTCTGCTGGGTCTGACCTGGCTGCTGTGGCTGCTGTGCAGGGGGAGCTCAGGGGCCTGGTGCCGGCGGCAGCCCTGCAGGCGCTGCAGCACGAGCGGGTCCTGCGAGCCCTCCGGGAGCTGGGCAACCTCTCTGCGCCGCACAACGTCTCCTGCCACCTGCTCGCCGGCTCCCCGCCGCCCGACAAGAGTGAGTGGCCTCGGGGCCCTGGGCTGGGCAGGGCTCTGGGTTCAGCTGTCCTGTGGTGGCTGCAAGTCCCAGCAAGGACCTGGCCTGTTAGCTGCTATGGCTGGGATGGGGAGGGGTCTTCTGCTCACATTTTAGGGTTTGTTCCTCTGTAGAGGATCCCTGGACTCCTGCGATGTCCTGTTGCTATTTTTGGTCCATTCTTGGGCTGTTTCTGAGATGCTGGTGGCGTTGGTCTCAGTAAGGACCAAATGGCGTTAACTGTGCAGGGTGGCCTTGCAGAGAGCTTCTGGAGCTCCCCAAGCCACCTCCCGTGTGGTTCGCGGGGCAGGTTCACCTCGATGCGTACCGGGTCACCCCTCAGCTCGCTAATCCCTGCTCTTCGCCTCGCAGAGTTCCTGGCAGTGGGGCTGGCRTCAGTGCGGCGGCCACGTGGCTACTACCTCCGGGCCACGCTGCAGTCTGTCTTTGAGCAGTCGACRGAGGAGGAGCTGCAGGAGATGGTGGTGGTGGTGCACCTGGCCGACCCGGACCCGGGCTGGAACGCATGGGTGACTGCGGACATCGCCCGCAGGTTTGCTCACCACCTCCTGCGGGGCCAGCTCCTGCTTATCCACGCTCCCCAGGAGTTTTACCCGCCTCTGGATGGCCTGAAGAGGAACTACAATGACCCAGAAGAGCGGGTGAAGTTCAGGTCCAAGCAGAATGTGGATTACGCGTTCCTCCTTGCCTTTGCCGCCAACCTTTCCACCTACTACCTGATGATCGAGGATGACGTGAAGTGCTCCAAGTCCTTCCTCACGGCCATCCGCAAGGCACTGACCTCCAGGGAAGGCTCCAACTGGGCCACCCTCGAATTCTCCAAGCTGGGCTACATTGGGAAGCTCTACCACTCCAGTGACCTTCCTCGCCTGGCTCGCTTCCTCCTCCTCTTCTACCAGGAGATGCCGTGTGACTGGCTGCTGAGCTACTTCCGCCTCCTGCTCACGCAGAAGGACGTCATCCGCTTCAAGCCCTCGCTCTTCCAGCACATGGGCTTCTACTCGTCCTTGCAGGGCACTGTCAACCGGTTGGAGGACGATGACTTTGAGGCGTACGCCCTGGACCTGCCGGACAACCCGCCAGCAGCTCTCTTCACTGACATTGCAGTCTTTGAGAATTACGAGCCCTCCAAGGCCTACAGCGGAGCAGAGGGCTACTTCTGGGGGAAGGCCCCGGSGGACGGCAGCGTTTTCTGCGTCATTTTCCAGCAGCCGGCACACGTGAGGCGCGTGCGGGTGCGCACGGGCTCCAGCGAGCGCCGGGGGGACTTCCTGCATGCGGGGACGCTGGAGCTGGGCTGGCGCCGGCGGCCCCACGCCCGGGACTGCTCCCTCTACACTCCCATGGGCATCTTCACTAAGGGGCTCTTTGAGCGGGGGGGGCTGGAAAAGGAGGTGCCGCATGCCGTCGAGTGCGTGAGGATACGGGTGACCCAGGGCCAGAGCGAGTGGCTCATCATCCAGAGCATCGACATCTGGACAGCGTCRAGCACCTGACGAGGGAGGTGACAGGCACGGCAGCCTTTGGGAGGACTTTGCACTATTTTGAGAGGAGCTGTATTTTTCGTAGTCCCCTTTTCTGACGGAGAATTAAATTATTCAGTCCTGCTGCTGCTGCTTCCTGTCTCTGGGGAGGTCCTGGGAGCAGGGGCTGCTCTGCAGGGTGGTGGAGGGGGTGGGAGAAGAGCCCACCCTGCTCGGCCTGGCGGCTGCTCCAGTGCGAGGCAGCTGCCCCAGGCAGGTGGTATCGACGTTGGGCCGCAGCCCCTGGAGCCCATCAGGGCAGGGAGGGTGCCCGTGTGTCCCAGTGACTGCCAGCACCCAGCCTCCCCGCTGGACCCCTCTAAATGGGCCCTACGGACACTCTCCAAGGCCCCTCTTTTGGCCGCAGGGTGCTGCGGAGCTGAACTGCTCCCAGCCCCACCAACAGCCTCTGCGCGGGCTCCAGCGCTGCCTCAACTCCCTTCAGGGTCTTGATGCCTCCGGGAAAGCTGAAGGCACAGAGGGGTGTCCGTCCTGGAGCACGGGCAGCCGGGCACCTGGGCCCTTAGCAGGCTTGGGGAGAAGGATGAACCAGGCAGCAGTGTGTTCTACAACATCTTCATCGCACCCCATTCTCATGTGATTTTTCTAACCCAGCTTGTGCTTCTCCTCTTTCCACTAGAAGGCAGCACAGAGAGCAGCAGCTCAGTGCTGGGGACTCTAACTCTGATACAACAGGGCATCTGCCCGAAAAAAAGCCAGCCATTTAATGCATCTGTCTGCATTTAATATAGAGATGCTATATGATAAACTCAGCACCTTCCTTACATTATAAATATTCTCAGTGGGATCAATATATACACAGAAACACTGCAGAATCACTTCATTTTCCTCCACAGCCAGAGTACAGTCAGAGCACTCTGTTTTCTTTGTATTTTTAAAAGCACAAGTGTTGCCTCTCCGGGGTCCTGAGACCCAGTTAGGAAGTGTATCCGATACCCCAGTAAAGCCACTGTCCCAGTTCTCTTTGACACACTGTGACAGCGTCAAGGGGCATTACAGTGGGGACAAAGGAAATGCTTTCCCCCCATGTGTTATTTAGCCACTGACAAGCCAGGAGAAACAGAAATCTAAAATGTAAATCGCTTTGTTTGCCTGTTGGTCTCTTCCCTGTGAATGTATTAATAGTTTTGTGACATCCACCATGCACAGAACCAGCTGCTATCTCAGTTATACTGGTATAAATCTGGAGAAGCTCCGCTGAAGACAGCAGAACCCCCCTGGATTTCTGCTCAGCAGACAAGTGCTGAATTCACATCACTGCCCGCTACAGAAGGAGGCCTCCTCATCCCCRAGTAGCATCTTTTAGAGAAGGCATCTGTGGCAAGTGTGAATGGAGGCAATGACTGCCTTGCAGGGAGCAGCGTCACGCTCTTACACTAGAAGGTCTTGTAGTTTGTGGTCAGGTGTTGGGGGTCCTAGAACTACACAGTAAGAATGGCTCTGACCCAAAGCACATCSACCTCTTAGTGTTGGAGGTGGGCAAATGGTAACTTTGTTCCCTCATACCTATTTTTTTTTTGCTCCCTAAACAGGCTGTACAAGTGCTGCTCTCCAAATGCTTTCTCTGAGATCACAGAAGTGCCACCCGCTACCAGAGGGTTACAGATTTCAGCAGACTGTCATGTGACAGCACCGTAGTGGAGGGTAGCTGAGAGACAGAGCACAGAGTAAAATCAATTTTATCCCACTGAAGCCAGCAGTGGACTTGGCCAATGTAGAGCGCTTCATAGCAAGACTCCTCCTCTAAAGGGGGAAGTGGGGAGGGGACGATGGAGGCTTCAGTCCCAGTAGGTAGCACCTGAGGCGCCAGGGCGAGCACAGAGCACTGGAGCTGCAGTCCCTGCACACGTGGGCTGCTTAGCTGGGGCAGCAGCTCTGCAAACAACCATTTACACGCAGGAGTGGGGCCAACAGGCAGTGCAGGTACCAGTGAGCAAGAGTTAAGGAGCCTCTGGGCAGAGATGTAGAAGACAGGGGGACAAAACCAGAAGTGCTTTGGCCTGCCCCTCTGGCTGTAGTATCTGAGAGGGTTTGAGCTTTCAGTCAAACACCACGGATGTCCTGAAGGATGCGCTAGTGCCCACCTCTAGCAACTGAGCTACTCTGTCCCTTGGGAAGTGGGGCTACGTAGTTGCTCGTCTAGCTCAGCATCTTGTGGCGGTCGAAAACGGTTTTTCTCTGCTCCTGCACCTGGCGCTTCCAGCGCTGCTGGGCTCCCTCCACCCTCTCCAGCACCGTGTTGGCTCTGGCACCAGACGGCGTGGGGACTGTGGCCAACGAGCGAGCATCCTGCAATGCAAAAAAAATAGGATGAAAAAGGGTCAGAGCAAGGCATGCCCAATGCAAATGCAGAGGACTCATTTCTGTGAGGAACTTCTACAAAAGGAGCAATTCTAGGCTCATGGTATCCTGAAAAAACACCTGATTTTCAGTGGTCCTTGACACTAGTTCCTTAAATCTGACTAGAAAGGCTCCTCTTTGGAACATGCACAGAAAAATCAGTCTCTAAAGGGATAACTTCCATAAGAGGAACTACCCCAAGCTACCACACTTTTAGAACACAATTCATCTCATCCTGCAGGACCTCCTTTTTTCAGCAGAGGGAGGTAACGGGTAAGATTCGCACTGCGGAGCAGCTACTGCTCGCTCATGTCAACTGAATCTGAAAGACTCAGACCAAAAAGTGCCTGTTGTGACTTAAAATATACACAGGACAGTGTGACCTAGGGCTTCACCTCAGAGGCTGGGGAAGGAGTGCGTCTCTAAACACTGCCACTTCCTTTCTCAAAGTGCGACTGAGCATCTGGTTTAGAGCTTAATCACTAAGGTTGCTCTGGGTGGCAATCACAGGCCTTGGGATGGTGGGATGATGGAGAGATGACATCTGTCTTTCAGCTTGCTCTCTGTGGACAGTCAGCATGTCAGTCCTACCAAGAAACTTCTTCTAATCCCTCACAGGCTTCACATCGTACAGACATCCCTTGTACTGGCCAGTGCGACTGCAAGTGAACTGCCTCCTCCTGAGGGATGAGCAAATCCTTTGCCTGGGCACTATCGAGTGCATCTGCAGAACTATCCCGTGGCTTTAGAGCAGAGCTCTCTCCAAACGTGGTCCTACTTTGCTTCTCCAGGAAAGGAGAAGGGATTCTTTACAGAAGCTGGTTACAACAGTTCTGTTGGCTAAGAGCTACAAGACAACAAAGCAGCACCCCACGATCTCTAGGCAGAAAGATGCCCATGGTGCTGTGTCCAAAGCACAGACCATCTCGAACGGAGCAGCATCAGCAAGATCCGGATCCCAGGAGAAACTGGGGCTACATTAGGGGAAAGTCCCTGCCTTCCTCACTGACACAGCCCTTCAGCAATATGTCAGTGGGTCAGAGCTGGCTCTGCATCACAACCTTGGCAAAGGTGCCTCTATGAAGGTGATCTCAGTAAACTGATATCTAGCTGTTTTTTTTTTTCATTGGGTTTATTTTTGGAAGCAGAATAAGGATGTTGTGAACAGTCAGTGTTATACAGAAAAGCCCTGTCAACTCCAGCCTGCTGTCCTGCCTCAGAGAAGGGGTGTGAGTCAAGGACAACCTTGTTTCAGGATAGTAAAAGGCAGTTGGAACATCAGTCTTGCGACAGGGCACAAAAGAGGATCTTTGCATCCTCTCCTTGGTACCTTGACTTCTCCCACAGAATGAAACTCTGAAGGCAGTTAGTGAAGCATGGTTCACCCACACAGAAGCCAAGAGGCAATGAGATGTTCCCAAAAGAGATGGAATCCAAGTGCAAATTCTGCTCTTGTGGAAAGCACAAGGAACAAGGTGGCCTCCACGCAGCAGGCTCCAATAGCAGCAGCAACAGCTCAAAGTCTGCCCTATTAAGCAGCTCTAAGAGGGGCCAGATCCATACTTCAGCAAATGCTTCTGCTCATCTTTCCCTGGAATCTCACCACCAAGTGAGTAAGCACTAACCAAAGAGGAGCCATTTGACTTTTGGTTTCATCCACACTGTGAAATACCAATCAAGGCCACACTCTAAAAAAAACACCCTCTTCAACCCTGCTAGAGTATCAGAGAACAGGTTGCATCTTGTGCTCTTTGAATTTTACCTGTATTTCATGAATTTCATTAAATTCATGAAATACATGAATTTTACATGTATTTCAGCATGTTCTAACGCTGATTTGAGTCTAAAGGTTTATCTGTGCCAAGTATCAAAAAAGCAAACGTGCCCATCCCACACTGGACTAGGGGGCAAGCAGGAGGACACTGTTCCTGTGTCAGCCATTCCCTCGAGACGCTGCTGTCATCCCACCATGACTGCAGCCATCCATCTCAGGCCACGTGCCCCAGCAGCACACACTCACCTCGTTCTCCTCCTCATTGTGCAGGGGTTGGGTATAGGCGTCTGGCTTCCTGATCAGAGGGTCCACGAGCACAAGAAAAGCCATGTAAAGCAGCAGTGCCCCCACCACAGATAAGTAGATGATGATGATCACCTGCATTTAAGCACAGCATGGTAGCAAAGGATTCAGAGGTACAGACAAGAAGCACCACAGAGGCCTCAGAACTACCATGAAGCTCCTCTCACAGCTGCCTCTGGTGCTTGGTACCCATTCTAAGCTCACTCATCAGAAAGTCTCTTGTCTGTCAGTGCAGGAAGGCTGACATTGGGCATTGAGGAAATGTGCCATGGCTGAACAAACCATGCTCAACTTCCGTGCACTCTGCCAATTTAGCACATGTGTTGCCAGTGAAACAAGACCAACAAGAGGGGTTCCCAGTCAGAGATATCTGGCAGTCACCCACCCTCTKCAAGGACACTGGGCTCCCATGCAGCAGGCTCTGCGCTGCCAGCAGTCCTCTTGACCCACCAGTGGTACCCCTGACACTAATGCTGTGTGCTACTTGTGCTAGTTTTATTTTTCCTTTCTGGGCTCTTCTCCAGGAGCTCCTCCAGCCTAGTTCTGCCCCGGCTGRTCTGGCCCCACTGGGAGAAGGAACCAGCCAGAGAGAGAAGACCTGCCGGTACCTTGATGGTGGTTGTGCTGCGCTCTTCGTACTTGCACTCGCACAGCAGGCAATAGGCCTCCACGTCATTCCCTGGCACCGGCATTGGCTCCACCACGTGCAGGCAGTTGCTGCGACAGAAAGAAGGGCTCAGTATCAAGAGAGGGTGAAACGGGTGCTCTGTGGAAAGGGGCTGGAGTCGACTCTTTTCTCTGTGCCTCAGTCTTCCCATCTGTACTATCTGGCTGATAATGAAAGGTTTGCTCACAGCTTAACTAGCTCAGTTCTTGGGTTGGACTGCATCAAAGGGCCTTTTCTACCTTCTGTAGGGAGAAAATTCAGATGAAAAAGTCTGGAGAGTCGTCATATAATCTGCTAACAGCTCATGGCCTTAATAATAACAGCTCCCACATTCCTGAATTTCTGTTCAAAAAGCACCCCTTCATGTGGGTGGAATGTCATCTATTGAACTGGCTTCCTCTGCAAAGAGCTGGCAGGCAGTGGCCGTGACTGACCACCCCAAAACGCTCCGCGTCTCTGGAGCGTCAGCCGTCACGGACCAACCCACAGGCTTCCACAAAAGACTCACCAGTCCTTCTGCGACACATTCTTGTTGTAGATGTGCCCGCTGATGTTCCGGTACGGGGGACAGATGCACTTGCAGCGGATGTCCTCTGAGCTCTGCAGAGGCGAGACAAGAGTGAACACACGGATACAATGTGCAGCACTCACACAAGGCTGCGCGGATGGTAAAACCTTCCCTAAAGAAAAGATAACTTCATACCACCTCTCTTCCTTCTATTTTATGATTTTTGTATCAACAGTTTCAATTTGTACCGTACCCACAGCTCAGTGCCTGCCTCGGAGGCTGCTCACTCACCCTGCTGGCTTGTGCTGGAGGAGAAAGGATGCAGCAGAGCAGTGCCACGAGCAGCAGGGAGCTTGCACACTTCCAGGCGCACTGCGCCAACATCATGAGGGCCTGAGGAAACAAAGATTCACATCCTGGAGAGACTACAGTCGTGCACCCAAACCACCCCAGTCCGACCGAGAATACTGGTGGCTTCCTTGCAGTTTGACTAGTGCAACTAATCTCCTGTAAAATCCTTAATCTAGTAAAGATACAGGACTGGGAAAACCAAAGACCGAGGGCAAGCTAAGGAAGGGGATGGGGTCTCCTTGCTGTACGATATGATAAACACTAAATCAGTCATTTTTCAGTGGCCGAAGTTTTGCTTCTGAGCAGGTCAACACATTCTCCTCCCTCTTGTGAGGAAGTTTGGCAAAGGAGCAAAATGTTCAACAACCCCAGAACTTCCTCTACCGCAAGGTAGATGTTTAGTGAAGTCCTAATTATTTTCCTATTGCAAATCCTAAGTTGGGTGAAACTGTTACTTTTGCTACACAGGCAYAAACACGGTTATTACTGAGATGTGTGTTTGCAACACATCAAAAGCATTCCATCATTTTTCCCATGAAAGGCAAAGTTAGCCCTAAAAAACACTCATGTTTCATTCCTGGCCTGCCTGGGGCAGGAGGCGCAGGAAATACCATGCCACCTTGGGGACAGTTTCAAAAAGCCACTTCAGGAGAGGTTTCCTATTCGGGGAAGGTAATTTACAGTTTCATTAATCAGCTCCATATGGTACACATAATCCCACAGYTAACTCCAGGTATTTATATTCTATTAGCTAACATAATCCCATTTGTATTTATAACATAAGGATATTAAACCGCCATTTTATTTCAGTATCCTAAAATTGACTAATTCTGCARAGATTTAATGGATTACAACCACCAATTTCCTCTTCTTTAGCTAAACAACACAAGCCACTTTTGTCAACAAAAATGCCCAAATGTGTTCCAACAGTTTACCCATTCACAAGCTTTATTAACCCTTCCCCTCAACTAGCAAAAACCAGGCACTATCCCCTGAAATGTGAATCATCTTTCTCACATAAATTCTATCAGTAAAAATTAAACAAACCRGTATAATTTAGTTGTTCTTGGGTTTACAGAACCAAACTGCCCCTCAGTGATTTTGACTTTGTTACAGCCAGCAATCCACCCGGCGTAAATCCGCCATTAACAGCTATTAAATGACCATTTAAATATTCAGAATGGGTCTAAACATTTCAATCCCAATAACAACGATCCAGCACTGCAGCATATTTCCAGAGCTTTGTGGCAGCCTGTTTAAACTAAATCCTTWGGATAAGAACGGGCCTTAATTGCCTTTTTTTAAGGCAAACGGGGAAAATACATGATGTTACACCACATTCACCAGAAGCAGGTATGTACRTGYGTGTATATGTATACACATATATAAATATATATGTATAAAGTGATGCACAGAGGMCGAGTGCACCCGCGCTGCGCTCTGCGATGCTGGACACGCAACAAGCTCCTCATCCCCCGCATCCCCCGGGAGCTCCGCGGGGCTCCCCGACACCTCCCGGCCCGAACCCCCTCGCCACGGGGTTGCTCTGGTTACCAAGGCCAGGCCGCGGCCATCGGAGCCCCCCGGCTCCTCCACCCACCGCGGAAGGGACCCCCGGGACCCCAGGACGTCGCCCGCGGGGGGAGGCGGGGGAGGAGGGAAGGATCCAGCCCCCCCCCCGCCCCCCTCAGGCGGCCCCGCGCAGCCGTTACCGGCCCTACCTGCCGCGCGGCGCTCGCTCCCCACCCCCCGCTCCGGGCTCGCCCCCAGCCCCTGCGCTCCCATTGGTGGCGGCGGGTGACGTTCAGTGACGGGCAGCGTCGCTGGCCAGTCAGAAGGCAGCTCGCTCGGCGGCGGCCTGAGGCGAAGCCCCGCCCCCGGAGAGGGCGCTGAGGGATGCGGCGAGGTCGTCGCGCGGCCCCGGGCGTCTCGGAGGTGGCTCCCGCTCTGAGCAGCATGGGCAGGGGACGAGGCCGAAGAAGGCCCCGATAAACCTTTGAGTTCCCTGAAAGCGACGGCCTGTCCTTTGCCATCTGTCCCCTTGGCTGCCATTGCTGCCTCTGCATCATGGCATGGCTGCCTGGATCACCTTTATAAGAGAAGTGAGGCCCCAGTAGGGCTGTGTTTGGAGTAACCCTGATTTGGCTATTGTTTTATTGTAATTTATATTGCATTTTTTGTAGCATCAAGGCAGTGTCTCTGCAATTCATCTCTTGCATTAGAACCAGTGAACTGTTTTTGCTGTTTTCTGGTGCTTCTCTAAGGCTGTGCGATCTTCTGTTTGCTCTAGGAGAACCTTCTTGAGACCCTCTTTGTCCCATTTTCTTTGACCACACCATTGCTTCGGGTTTGGCTCAGCGGCTGGCCCGGCTGTTGCTGTGGGCCCAAGGGTCTTCTCAGCTGGTACAGCACAAAGCACAGGAAGGATTTCTCCATTGGTGGAAAGGGAAAAGAACCTAAACTCTGGTTTAACAGCTCAAAAAGCAGCTGCTGGTGACTGAAGTAAAGTGCCTTGCTTGCGGTGGACTGGGATAAAAGATGGAGTATTGCAAACTCACTGTCTGATGAATGAACTGCCCTACAGGCACATTTAGCCTTGTTTAGCCAGAAGACTGAATGAGATGTATTCAGCCAGAAATAAGTGTGTATATCTGTTTGGCTCAGGCGATTTTAGCTTGACAGCAGGAAGATTTGCTCATGTGAGTACATTCATGTTACATGAGTGTCCATGTACCTAGCAGTACTAAGCTCCTCAAAAGACAGGCTACCAAGTGCGAGATAAGCTTGAAAGTTGCGTTTCAGTTTTAAGACCCTTTCTGTTTTCAGGTGGCTGCTTTCTACTTTCTTGGAAGGGAAGGTTAGCTGGGAGTGCATGGGCTTTAATTCCAAGGTGCAGGGGAGACATTTTCTTTGTAGCGATAGGAGGTATCTCATACACAGCACCTTCCAAAAGCCCTTCACTGTTCCCTTCCTTGCTGGCTTTCTTCCTGCCCAGCAACTTGTTTTGCCCTTCTCAGGTAATTCTTTTCCATAATTAAAATACAATAAAAACAACAACAAAAGAAGCTTTTACAGACCTGTCAATACTCCCCCTTCTGAGTAATTTGGATTGATGTAAGGCATTGAAACTCTAATGATTTTGAGAATCTTAGTTGTGCTGTGGCGCAGGAAGGCTTAGCAGTGAATCTGAGGGTTCATACATTATTGGCAGCAGGAAGGGCAAGAGAGGCGCCRCAAAGGAGCTTTCCACAGGCAGCATCCTGGGAATAGACTCCAAACAGGCTTATCTGTGACGGAAGGAATCAGGGATAGGCATAAGAAACAAAGAAACACAAATATGTACTAATGGAGAAGTGCCTGCAGCGTGGACTCCCCACCAGGAGCACTCCCCTTACTGATGCTGTGAGATGCGTCCATAGTGGAATTTACAGTGTTGGCTTTGAAGGACAGGTGAGTGGTTTTTTTTTTTGTTTTTTTTTTTAGTATTATCAGTGGCAAAGGACACATTAGAATAGCACGACCTTGTTCCTTCTGGAAGCGGATATTAGTGACCACTCTGAAACACTTCTGGGAAAACAATAGGGTCRCATTAGGTCCCGACATTTAAAGGGCAATTTATTTTAAATTGTAAACAAGCAGATGGASTTGTAAATATCCTGGAGATATATCCTACCAAGAGACATGCTGTGGGTCACAGAGAAGAAACTTCTTTCTTCAGCTGCAACAAAATGATCTGATCTTAGGGTTATGCAGAAATTGAAATTTTCTCAAAGTGTTCTCAGATTTCTGAACTGATAGGATGCAAGGAGTYTGTATGGGTGCTTGGGCACTGGGCCAACTTGCTTGAGTTCTGTTCYGTGCTGTGGATGATTGGTTAGACCAAAGAACAGCACAAATTCTCCTTTTGTCATCTGTTCTCTTGGAACTCTAAGAAAAATGGCTTCTGGTGCTGGGCCTCAGTTTCCTCAGTCCAGAGGTACACAGTGGTGCTAGCGGCTTTCTGTGAGGGTGGCTGATGAACTGCTTTTGAAAGCGCTTTATGATCTCAACACGAAAGACCTGATGATTTTAAAGGCATATGGAGAAAACCTTTCAGAGATTTTCTGAGCATCTGTTAATGAACTAACAGTGTCAATCACAGGCTGGGGCAGCTGGTGTGTGTGTGGGGGCTGACAGAACATGTAGCTTTCCCAGCAGTCTGGACTCTGATAACCCAGCAGATACAGTGTCAGTTTGTGTCCTTTGGTCGTGCAGACAGGCTGGCGTTGGGAAGGACTCGCTGTCAGGCATGACCTCTCAGGGGATGGACACGGGACAGAGAACAACCATTAATATAACAGCCATGAAAGGATAAATCTGGGCCATGGAATTTGGTGTTGGGTCTCATGGCTTGCAGCTGCGGAGTAATTCCTCACTCGCACCTCAAAGTGTGACAGTGAGGAGACCTGTAGTACTGGGATAGGGCATCTCGAGGGCAACAGCTTCCACCCACTGGAGTTCAGTGAGCTCTCCAAAGTAAAGAACAAAAGTTGGCACTTGTTAGGTAAGGGAGGGGAATTCTCTGTGGCCAGAAGTACCTTCCCAGGGATGGTCTTGTCTTGAAGCCAGTGAGTTTACATGGTGATGCAGCCCTGCTGTGACCTGTGCAGGTGCTTGAGGAGAAGCCTTGTGAGCTGGACCTGTCATTTGAAGGGCCAGGGCTGCTTTTGAGGTGTTAGGTTTGGGATGCTCCCAGGGCAAGACTCCACGCTGCTTCTCATATTCTAAGACATCAGCACAGTGTACAACCCAAAGAGGTGGCACTTGTATCACAGGTAGGTATAAAAATGCCTACATGAAGAAGGGAAGGAGTACAATCAGGCTGAGTGGGACWGGTCACATTAGAAGGAGTGAGTGGCCACAGGCCCTGGTGACAGTGCTGTGGTGTTGTTCAGTTGCTTCGCACCTATCACTGCACCTCACAGGCATCCCTAGACATCCCATGCTGACTTGGCACAGGAAGGAAGTCAAGCACTGGAAAAATCACTGGAATTGGCACTCTTTTTCTGTAATTTCTGGTAAAAGAAGCTTCTTGAAGGTGTTAGATAGGGTGTCACAAGACCCCTTTAGACATAATATTTGCATCAGCTGTGAGATAACTYTATTTTATGTTCT